TGGCAGGGAATTCCTGCTGGAATTAGTGTCATTTAAGACGCAATGATTTGGTTCTTTTTTAATAACCGCTGGTGCCAGTCACAGAAGAAGTGTGTGCTGGAGAATAATACCTGCAGGCAGCTCCACCACAGAATAAATGAAAGGGGAGCCTCATATTTACTGGACAGATATGGAGTATTTACCTACTGGTGACGGGATGATATTTTGAGATAAAAATGCTTTTTCAAAATCTTATCTTGTGAATGTTGCAGAATAGAAATTGCAACGCTAATATTTGTGCTTCACTGGAATGTGTCTTTACTTATATTCTCCCTTTTATGATGGTGGTTTTATCCTAGAGACTAATCATTGATTGGTTTCTATTTGTCTGAAGTCAGGAGACAATGCAGCAGGAGTTATCTGGGAATGCTGTGTGTTTGTGCTAAGGCTCAACATGTGTCTCCAAACAATTAGCTCTTATGCTGTGAAATAGTTTAATTGCATTTGGCCAAAAAAAACTCCCATAGAAAATAACTATCCATCAGTTCCTGGTGCAGTTTATAGCACCTATGTCATTCACAAACCGATGAATGGCAGCTGCTCATTTGAGTCAGTTTTTCCAATGAACTCATTTGTTTAATCAATTTAGCTCTAATTAAACAGTCAATTAAACTTCCTGGACATAAACACAAAGGGAGCCAGAGTTACATTGTTCCGACTTGTGTTATCTTTTGTAAAGTAGTAATCAGCAGTAAATCTAGATAAGGGTTGTTATTCATGTCATCTGTCTCAAACAGCCTGAAAATGGATGCCTATCTGCTGTTCCTGATACTTGTCTGTTTCATAGGAAGTATTAAGCAAACTTGCTAGAATAAGTATTATACTGATATTATAGATAGATAGATGGATAGATAGATAAGTACTTAATTGATCCCAATTTGGGAAATGTTTGCGTTGCAGCAGCATAAAAAACAAGGCAACGTACATAACAGAAATTAAGACACGAGAAATAAACAATCTAAAATATTTCTGAAGTAGAAATAAAATAGCATTAAAAAGTAAAAAAATATACATGTGGAAAATTACGTGGAAATACAAATTTCCAGTAACAAAATTATAATGCAGGATTAAGTTACTGGGCTACAGAGGTAGCAAACATTGTTCCTCAGTCATAAAGAGATCTCAGGAAACAGCGCTCTCATAGTGTTTAAAGGTTTCATCCAGGATGTTGTCCATATGCTGAGCAAGTTTGACATTGCTCCTGTCTTTATAAACAATGCAGCCAATTCAGCCACTGTGGAAGAAGGTTGAGCATCACCAGGAAATGGCAGTGGGAACAGGAGTGTGCTGTAATAGCCGTGGTATGCTGTATAATCCTGTTGCATGCTTGTTTAATAGCTTCACAACCGTTGTTTCCAAAAGGAAGTACTGTCCCGCCATGCAAGTAATGGAAACAGAAAGGGCTGATTGATTTTAAATGTGGACAAAAGTACTCTCAGGGGAACCAGGAAATCACAATTACTTTGCATCACAGTCAATGCAAATGTGACTGAGAAACTTTTGGGTGCCAAATTGGCAAGTGTGACAAATTGGCAAGTGTGACAAATTGGTGTCACTGTGGAATCCATCTGACAGATCCACTTCACTGGTCAATAAATTAACATCAAACGGTTGACTTTTTAACTAGTGACGCTAATAGAAAGCAGGGCAAGGCTTTTAACCATTTTCTTGTGATTCTAGCCCAAATTTTCTATTTACAGGATAGTGACAGTAGTTTTTCCTGCAAAAAAAAGCCTGCACCTGCCATTAAAGGGTAACCTAAGATGATGTCAGTTGTAGCTAAATAGACAAAGGTCTCCCTTAATTATATCGTTCCTCTTTGTCTCAAGGACACAATATGCCAGCCATGTGTCATTGTTATCATTTTCTCTTATTTAATTATTGCCGTTTAGCTACTAAAGTGTAAATATACTTTTGAAATGTTCATAATCCACCCATTTTTTAACACTACAATACAGCCATGAACATTAGCACATTTCTTCTGAACAAATTTAATTTACATTTTTATTTGTTACCTAGCAAAGGGTGATCATTTTGTTTATTCACAAGCTGCAACAGCCTCTAATGGCTATTCGGTAAACTGCAGTTTTTGGCACAGGTTACTGAAGAAGTTTACAATGACCAATGACCCATGTTAAAGTTATCAGTGCCCTACCTAATTATTTACTTTATTTATTTGTTTACTGAATAATTTTGCAATTATTTATGTGTGAGCGATGTATATTTTCAATAGGGACATGGGGGTTGGGGCTAACTTGGTTTCGAGTCCACCCTTAAAAAAGCTTTGCCCGCCCCTGCTGGTCACTGTTTTACAAACAGTGGACCCACGGACATCGATATTCTCTTCCTGTCTCCATCTCTGCATTTAAATCCATTATTTTACCAGCCAATGTGGCCACTTTGTTACTCGGAGTTCTCCTGGTTAATACTCTTTAACGTGAAGCTTGTTTGACGTATTTTGGAGCGACGGAGCTCTTCCACCGGCGGAACAACTCACATGTGCGCAGAGAGCTGCACATTCACCGTCTGAGCAGTGCATCGTTCCGCTTTGTTGACAAGTGGCTTCAGTGGAAGTCTGTTGCATGTCGCAGGTTGAGGAAGCTAAAGATGAAATAACATCGTGGATGTGAATTCTGCGCTTAAGAGGTGAGGAGAGCCTCTTTGTTTATGTTGAAGTGATGAATGGACGAACAGCAAAATAGCTCGAATACAAATGCTGCTTTGGCTTTGCGAGACTAGAGATTAGGGTTAGATTGACAAAGTTAATCAATCGTGTATCCGCCTGCTCCATGCGAGGTGTTAATAATGGCACTCAGGAGCTGGTAGCTACTGATCACTGGATCAGAGGGCACTATGCTAAAATTAAGACGAACGACTTGTTGCCTGGACACAGATCATAATACAGGTAAAAACCTCAAAATGTGTGTTTAGAGTTTGATTTTGCAAGCTTTAGTTAGGTAGCTCTACTGTTACTTCAGTCACAATATGGAGGGATTATGCATTTATTTTACTTACTGCAATGATATTTGGACACCATACAATCATCATTAATCTGCTTTTTACTATATTGTTTAAACTGTGACTTTTCAAACCTGATTCTAACAAGAACAGAACATTTCATAAATCGTTTGTTTAGCCTACTACCCAAAAATATATCCCAAATTTAAAATGTGATCATTTTGTGTGAATTAGTTAATAGTTGTAAAAGCGTAGACATGCATACCGCACATTTTACTTTACAGACACCATCAATTCTACTTTTACTGATTATTTTCATTACTGATCAATCTGCAGAAAATGTCACAGTTAATTGTATACAACTGTATTCAACAAATACTATCAATGCTTTTTACAATGCTATGCAATGGATACTAGCAGCAAATCCTTACATTTGAAACCTGGAACCAGAGAACATTTGTCATTTATGTTGATCAACTTATCAATAATTGACTACTCGTACATTGATTTATGTTGGCAGTCTGAAAATGCTGAGAATGAGCAATAACAGTAATGTTTCGGTAAAGTATTTCGATATTCAAGTACAATGGCTCTTCCTCTTGAACTGTTCTTAATTCTCACATTGGCTGTGTTTTATAAAGTGGGTAAAGATTGCAGAGAAGGAGAATGCCACACAGAGAAAACACTGGCATCTGCTGCCTGCTAATGAGATCTCACTAAGACTGACAGGGAGCATCTGTATCACTGTCAACGTTTGGCTCCAAATATAGCTCTCCGACTAATCCAGATCAAAATAAATTTGAGCCTATTTTTTTCGGTTCTTCGAAACTGGTTTACATATGGAACTGTTGTCAGAGTGAATTCCTTAAGCCCACACCTGCAAACGTGATTGTTCATTTATGAAAGTGAGTGACATTGATAATAATAACCTGATATTGGGATGGGGAATGAGAACTGCTTTTGGGGAAAGAATACATTGTTGAATCTATTAGAACATCTCTCATTCTGATGTTATGAACCTCACTATTAAAACTTGAACTAATGACTCGTTTGGTCCTTTTTGAAAAACAGTTTACATTTTTGCTTCATTTCAAGTCATTAGGACTCCTTATTGGTAATCTGTCATGTTATGTTTAGAGAGTCCATAAATATCTTTTATATGCAACGCTCAGGTCTCATCCTGGAATACAATCGATGGATCAGGATCCCTAGTGGTCAAAGTCATGCATAATTCAACTGTTGTGTGACACCCCATTTGTCTCTTAATAGCGCATCTCTTCCGAGAATAGAGCAGGTGCATCAGTGTGAAATGCCACGAGTCGTTTGTTTGCGTGTTTAATCTCAATAAAGATACGTTTGGCAGTACAAATGTTGTCTGTTGTCGTAGTAAATGGCTGCAGCCAGATTTGTCATGTGAAACAGGCCCAGACCCTCGACTTCAGCCTGTTGGTATCACATGACAGTAGAGTGCTCCTGGCTATTATCCACGAGTCGAATCAGGATAGCTGAGCCTGGCTCAAATGGAACATACACGTCTACCCAGGGATATAAACATTATTTTTGATTTATCGCTGCAGCACAGTGGAGAAGGAGTGTGTGTGTTTCCAGAATTGAGACACCTTATGACTGAATTATTGTATCATCCATGAACATTTGAAGTAAGTGATGTGTGGGTTACCAAGAGGTCATACAAGAGTCATCTTCCCTATATACATTTCTTGTCCTTTGGATGTTTTAGCTTCACTGTGCAGTGTGATGTATGTCCGAGTTTGACCCTGAAATGATTCCCCCCCCCCTGTATCTGCTGAAGGGGGAAAGCTTCTTCTTACATCTGAGTTTGATGATTTTGTGCCATCACATTTAGTGTTAGTGCGAGTATGCAACATGAAGTTTCCAACGCTGAGAACGGACTTCTCAGTGAAGATCTTGTGTATATTAGTTGACTGTGGCTACAATCTACGGGAGAATCTAATCGTCTATATTTCTGTGTTTTGTTTGAACAGGGGGAGACAGAGAGCGGATGACAGCCAACCATGAGACCTACCTTCTTATGGCCAGCACCCAGAATGACATGGAGGATTGGGTGAAGACGATCCGCAGGGTCATCTGGGCTCCTTTTGGCGGAGGTCAGTAAACAAACAACCACTGTTGTTATTAGCTGCATAACATCTTAATGTTAACAAGAAACAGTTTGGTCTTCTTTGAGATGACTTGCATAGTTTACAAAAGACAATCAAAGTGTTAACCGTCTGGTTGAATCCCACTGATTTAAAAAAACGTCCATTATATTGAAACATCCATTATCATTGAGAACTGAAAGAATGAGTTGCATTGTGCACAATGATAATAATGTTACTGTAGTTGGTGCATGGTAGAGTTGGGACTTACCAGTCATTTCCAGGTACAAGTCAATACCACATGTATTTTCACAACTGAAACTAGATGTGATTACACAATACAGGTTTAGCTGTTTTATAAAGATGACTTGAATCAGTTGACCACAATTTTACCAGTATTATATATCCTAACTTTTGAAGACTTTATCTCCAAATTTGACAACATGGCATGTTTACAAAGACTGGAGGTTGTAACATATGCTTCCTCCTTCCCTCCTCAGTGTTTCGTTCAGTGTCCTTCCACGTTTCTTACTATAACTACACTAGTTTAGTTTAAACAGCCCTTAACACACAGGCTTTTTCATGCACCTAATTAGCACTTCAATATGTTTTTCCGAACTGTTATCTCCCTGAATACTTCCACAAAGAACACTTATATAATGCAGCAAAAATGAACATAATCTCTTATTAGAACAAATGCATAAAGGCTTCAACCAATGACATTTTGCGGAATGGTTTTTGTTGAGCCTATATCTTAAATGAAAATATGAAAAATAAATATTTATGAGAATTATAATAAGACAATGACTTTAAAGAGGCAACTTGTCTTGTCTTTCGAAATAAAACCCTGAAACAGATAATATTTGCAGGCAAGTATTTTGCATTTTAAATGTGTTTATTCATCACGCACATACTTTGTAAAGGCTTTTAGTCCTAAGAAAATTTGCTGCGCTTGATTTGTGCTGCTTGAATCTCTTCTCACACGTTTGTGTCATCATCGTGCAAGTTTGTTTTTCTCTTCCTATCGCGCTTGTTCGTGCTAAATAACAATGGTTGTTAAAATCAATTACATGCATCAAATAAGCCAACAAACAATGGTGATGTAATAATCAAAAAGTGCACAGTAATTCAAAGCTGAAGTGCATGATGTTGTAATTGTTCTCATGAAGTTTTCCCTGGGATCAGTGTGATGATTACAGAGTGTCCTGCTGCGCCGCTACAGCTTGTTATTGACTTTGCTGGCAGACATTGGTCTACATTGTGTACGAGCGGGGCACAAGTGCAGCGTTTGAGACCGGACGGGCAGTTCAGGCCGCTCTCTGTGTCACAGTGAATGGACGAGCCTGAGCTGGCCCCTCTGTTTTCAGTGCAGGCAGTTTGATGTCTATTGCAGTTGACTGCTCTTCAAAAGGACGAGCCATTTGTCAAAGATGCCACAAGAAAGGTGGCGGAGCCGGCTTTCACACATATACACACACAGCTCACACACAAACGCACACATATTCCAGGCTTTTACATTTTGCAGAGACTCAGCTGAGCCCTGATTGGCTGTTATAGAGTGATTAAAACTTTTGATCAGAGTGACAGATAGAGAGGGAGACCGTGTTTGACCCACAGAGGAGCTCGGAGCTGTCATGTTGTGCCCAACACTTGCTATGATGTGGAATTAATTACTGGCCAGCAGTTTGACAAGAGACAGTTTGAAGTCCGATGATTGAGAAATGTGCAGCTGTGGTCTCTCCATCTGGATCTTTGGAGAATTTTTCCATGGTAATTACCAATTCTTCATATGTAAAGATTTAGCATTTTAATTTGAGCTGTTGTTGGATTCCTGCTATGTAGTCAATTCAAATGTTAAACTGTAAAAGTACAAATTGAATATTTCCACCCATGTAGTTTATACATTACATGGGAGGGTTTTCTAGACAGTTTCAGTTGTTGGTTTGGAGGACTAGTGGCTAAAGCAGACAACCACCTCCAAATATTACATTTCCTTTTCTTTGACATTTGAAGGCACTGTTTTCAACCTTACTTACAGTTAATACCACAGTTTAATGTGATGTGTGTCCGCCTTCTACTTGTGGGTTAGAGTTCTCATTTAGTGTATGACTTGCTCGATTTGGGGCCGTTTTGTTTCACTGTTTATATGTAACATTCAGAAAAGTCATCAAGGCGTTCAAATCAGGTTCATATCTCCTATTTGAGGAACATTTATCTACCACATCACAGAACAGGAATTAAGGACAAGGAAGAGAAGACGATAAGCACTGGAAAAGGAAAAATTGGACCGTGTTGGGTCTGGACCTCTTTCCCCTTCCTCGTGTGTGTGTGTGTGTGTGTGAAGATATGAGTGTGTGTGTGTGTGTGTTGCAGCTGGTGTAGCTGACAGAACCTGAGAGTGCTGAAGGAACCTGCTGAGTGTTAGCAGAGTAGAGGTGTTGCTCTTGTGTTAAGACTTTTTCTAGATGTGGTACGAGCCAGCAAACATAAACACATGCACACACTCTTCATAAGCTGGTCCACACACACAGCTACATGTGACCCAGGGAAAACATTCCTAGACTCATGACCAGAACGTCTGGTGGGATGAACTCTTTAACATCCTTTTTCTCATTTGTTCTCTGTTGTTCTTTTTATTACGTGAGGATATTCACTGTCCTTTACTCTGGTGGAGCTTGACTTATCCATCTTTCACTTTGATTCAGCTAATATTTGGAACACGGATACACAGCTTTCATTATATCTTGGGAATTTCTTGTGACTGTTTCGTTCATATTTGGGTTTTTGTGAGGATTGAAGTGGAAAGGTCCAAGACTTCTCTGTTGATTTCTGAGCTGCTTATTTTCAAATGAAAAATCATTTTAATCAACATTTTCTGAGACATGGATATGAAGACGGTTTGACTGACCTAGCAAACTGATGCAGCGCTTTTATTTCAGAACAGTTTTTTTTTTGCTTTATGTCAAAGCTGCAAAAACCGAGGCTGGTTTTTGTAAAATGCTAGACTGCAGACACTTTAAATTCTGCGCCTCGGGTGTGTTATCTTATCACAAATTTATTAATAGGCATTTCTTCCGGAAGCTAACAAGTTGTGTCCTTTTCAAGAGGGGTGAGTATGACAACATACCATAATATTGATAGTGGTAAAACAGCTTGCGTAAAATGTACGTTATGTACCAATACTCCTGTTCAAAACACTCATTTAAGATACAATTTCACCAACCAACACCAGTTGATTTAAAGCTTTGTGTTGCTATCTTAAGTGTCAATGCACAAGGGTTCTGTTAAGCTCTGTTTAATTTAGTTACTGTATACTACCTTGTTGTACAGCGTGTATGCATGAGTGTGAGTAGCCTCTGTCTGTCTCTGGAGACCGGAAAACTGTGCAGATCCAAATCTCTCAGGAAGGCTGCCTTAATCCCCTCTTGTGTTGCATCCACATGAGACTGTTGCAAATGGAAATCAGTCTCTTTTTACGCCGACTGCCTCAGACAAAAGGCGAGAGGTGCTCAGCAGGAAGTTAGAGATTTGATCATCAGACTAAGGCTTTGTGGGTGTACATATTTTTTGTTCGGACTGTCTAGCTGGCCTTATCTGACTTTTTCTTCAATTGATTTAACTGCTCTCTTTGATGTGCCTTAAGCTGCAGATGCTAGGCTAATGTTTTTTCTATGAAAAAGGTTACTTTCACTTCAAAAGAGAAAGTGAATTAGTGCAGGATATTAAACGGTATTAATATTTCAAAGGCTATACTATAATTCTAGTAATTTCAGAATCATACTCTGTAGCTGCTAAGAGACAGTTTCTGTCACAAATTGAAACAAATTGTAAGCATCTGTGATACAAGACAATATCATAAAACCCTGGAAACACTGGAGTTTGATATTTATATCGCTTTGAAATAAAAGCATGCTGATTATGTCCACACAAGCATCAAAGAACAATGACCCAATACTGATTTTGTGAAGCATTAATCAATCTCTTACAATCATTAAAACTTTGGTCTTGTGTTTCAGGGATTTTCGGTCAGAAGTTGGAGGAAACTGTGCGCTATGAGCGCCGGTTTGGGAACAAGCTGGCCCCTATGCTAGTGGAGCAGTGTGTGGATTTCATCCGGCAGTGGGGCTTGAGGGAGGAGGGCCTCTTCAGGCTGCCCGGACAGGCCAACCTGGTCAAAGAGCTGCAGGACGCCTTCGACTGTGGAGAAAAACCTTCTTTTGATTGGTGAGTGTACGGGCTGCTTGGATTTCCTCAGTGCATTTGAATGGGAAGCTGATATGTTCAGGTTCTGCACCTCTGGAAACACACAGGTGCGACTGTTAGCCTGAATTCCTTCAGACATTTTATGGAAACCAAAGGTGTTTTCAATACTGTTTTTCCATCAAAAAAATCTACAATTTTTAAGGGACGCCTTATAACACACAAAGATAATTGGGAAGATTCAGAAAATTACTCTAACCACCATTTTAAACAAGTTTCCTCACCTTCATCCTTTCTCAACAGGAGATAAGTAAAATATATTTTATGTAACTTACAACACATACATACAGAAAATACATATTTTAACAAATATTGGTCTATACTCACCCTTTTGAACACAGTACCTGCTGCGATATACTAGCAGATGCTGACACAATTTGATGAATTCTTATATTCCTCCATTTATTGTGTTTTTTCTCATCTCCAGTTCGCCTTTTTCGATGCTGAATTGTTAAACACAGCATTACAAGGCATTGTAAGTGTTTATATCACATATGTTTTTCAGTGCCGAAAACACGATGTAATTAATCAGGTTAACGGCTGATGCTTTTCACTCAGTTGCATTACACTGATGCTATGCTGTTAGCTGACAAACACCTGAAACAGAGCCAGTCTCTAATGTTATCAGTTTCACCTGTGCTTCCCCTGCCATGACAAGAAAAAGGTTAGGATTTATTTTTACAAGGAGGTAGATATTTTCTCAGTAAATGCTAAACAATCATTTTGATTAAATTCAGTTAGTCTGCAGTCAAATCTTGAATATATATTTTATTTTAAGTCTACAGGTGCATAAGCAATAAGAACCAACATTGAGCAAATGGAGGCACTGAATACATTGTACAACTAAAGACCCTTTGTCCACCCCCACAAGGGTTTTCACTTGATTAGACCTCTCCTCCAGGCTGTGTGGGTGCTTGATTGACACCTCTCTCGCCCTCTTTGTTTTGCCCTGTCACACCAGCATTTCAAACGGATGAATTCAATTAAGTCTTCACAAAATAAGCAGAGCTAGAAACTTAATGACATAGGGAATACTCTGATCCATGCATGCAGCAGTAGGTGATTTAGAAAATATGTTTCAGGTTTGTATAGCTTTGTCGTTCAAAATATATTTGCCAATAAGGGAAACTGTTTGTGTATTTGACATATGACAAATATGTATTGTGAAGTACTTTGACAGAGGGGAGTTAAATATAAGTGGGTGATAACACATAGCAAAGGATGCAGTTAGCAATAGCTTAGTCCTCAAAGGTAAATGCTGTCAAGATAGGTTGGGATATTAAAAAATGTTTCACTCTCATCCACTGGTTGCTTAAATTCCCCTGAAATAAATAAATGTGGTTAAATACTAGTCCTTCCCATAGTTTTAAATGATGGTATGACCAGATGTTAAGGGTCAATTTACACAGTTATTATTATTGAAGTGAATTAACATTTGAATTATGCGGTCACATTTTAAAATGAATTGAGATTAGTCAAGATGTTAAGGGCGATCATTTAAATTGTGAACTCAATTTTCTAAATAACGTATACAGACCCTCCACAATGTGCCTTCATACTATGCGTTGTGTTGCTGTCCTGCGAGACAGAGCTGTTTTTTAAAGTGACAACCTTCATCCATAACTCAGGATGACAGAGAATTGCTCTGCTCCTCTTCCTCTTTCACTCCCACCATCTATTCTACCAACCATAAATAAAATCTGGATAGGAGTGACATGAACCCAGGCCTACATACATCAATATCTGAGCATTTCCTAGAAACACAGGCCACAAAATCACCATCATGTCAGCTGCACCATGACACATCTCCGCCTCCTACATCTTTAACACAAATCATGTCGTGCAGGGGCAACACCTCCGCCCTCCTCCGTCCCCACACACGTCTGATTTTAGTTTTCTTAACCGTCCCTCACCTTGTGATTCCCTCGTTAGCTCTGATACCCTCCTGCTTACCTCCGAAATCCTCTTGCATTCTGGCAGATCTTTTAGTTCTCTGTGTTGCCTACGTTGTTACCGGTCTGTCTTTCTGTTGCTTATGTTCTGGTTTCTTTCCTGTATTTGCCTGATTCTCGTACAACAACAATCTTTAGTGAGGCTTAAATAACCACAGATATTTGTGGCATTTCGATCAAGCATTAAAGCAAGAGTTTAATTGATACACCCAGATAATCTTTTATGGCAGAGAGATAAATATGAAATTTGTACACTTCGTCTTAAACTCTTAAAATATTCACCAATTTGAACACTTATAAATAGACCCCATTGTTCTGAATTATTATGAATAAATCGGTATATATGGTTTTATACATATTTTACATAAGATTTCTTGTATCTCCACATTGACTTTTGTTGTATAATGTAGTATAATGCACAATTTCCTCAATTCAACGTTTGCTGCAATTCCCCCGAAGTTAATTAATTTTGTCACATACTAGTAGAGTTGGGAACCGAAACTCGGTTCCAGATGAGAACCGATAAGAAAATGCCGTGTACCGGGTACCCATACAAAATACACAATTTCGGTTCTGCTTAACTGTTCCTAAACGCTGTAGACCCTGTATTCCACCGGGTCCGTCTGCGCCGCGGCGCCCCGTTGGAATACAGGGTAAGGGCGGACTGGCCATCTGTGTGTTCTGGAGAATCACAGAACGGCCGGTCGTCAGCGGGCCGTTGACGGCCGGCTCGGTACGCTGACGGCTGGCACCGCCCTTAATTTTTTTTTAAACTGCATCATGTAAGTTGCGGCGACAGGCGACCGAGGTCCACAGTTGCCCCGCAGCGAGGCTCCCTCCGCCCTCCCGTAGACAGTTCACAAGCTCAGTCACTTCATAACACCAAAGATGGTTCGCGGTAAACGCTCTAAAGTGAGGCTCCACTACACTAAAAAAGAAAAAGACAAGGCACAGTGTAATGCCTGTTAATAGCTTGCCACAGGCATAGCTCAGTTAAAATAAAGCACAGCATGTATTTTTTTAATTTGTAAAAATGTCAGTTAAAGCTTAAAATAATAAAGATATTTTTGTTATCTAAACGTTTGACCTCTTTCTTTTACAATTTTGGAATCAAATCAAATCGATAAGAACCGGAATCGATAAGCAGAACCGGAATCGGAATCGATACATTTCAAACGATACCCATCCCTAAAGTGCTTACCACAGTTGTAATGTCTCTATAATTATATATACTGTATTTCTATTCTTAAATGGGTGTACAGTAACTGTAATGTAATGCCATTTTTTCCCCGGGGATCAATTAAGAATCCCTGATTCTGAAACACAACACTACAGACAGCTGTCTTTAAGATTTCCCAGCAGTCCTCTTGCAGCAGGAGTATTCATGAGGATTTCTGTTTGCCTCCATGCCATGTACCAATAATAATTTCTCTATTTCTGTCTGTGATGTTCCTGTGCAGTAACACGGATGTGCACACAGTGGCCTCTCTCCTGAAGCTGTACCTCAGAGAGCTGCCGGAGCCCGTCGTCCCCTTCAACAAGTTTGACGATTTCCTGGCCTCCGCAAAGCTCCTCAGCAAAGATGATGAAATGGTAAGAAATTGAGCTTGATTGGTTTCTTCCTACCTGTACCTTGCTTATACTACATATCCACAGAAGTGAGCACTGAAAAACTCTCACATAAATCATCCGAAGTGCTGCGCTGTGGGATTAAAGCTGGTCTCTAAATAGGATTTCTCTCACACTTTAAAGATAATGCTTCACAGCAGGGGGCGAGTCTTTGGCTTCCTCACAGTCTCTTAATCCTCCTCCTCCTCTCATTTACACTAGAGCCCAAGTTTGTGCATTTGTGTGCATGTGCTTGGATCTTGTATTTAAGTGTTACCACCTCAAGCATAGATTAGTGCTGCCATGCCTGTGAAACTTCCAAGGACTTTGAACTAAAAAAGGAACAGTGAGGAGAATTCACAATAAAAGAAAAGGTTACCAGTTTGTCATTGGATTGCAGCAGGTTTTGGTTGTTTGTAATCCTGTGAGATCATTTCAGATTAGAACATTTACAAATCAGAATTGTGTTTGATGATTGTCTTATTTGAAAACATTTCTGCATTTTGAAAATCAAAAAACAACCACACATGGGTTAGCATAGTAGTTTAAAAGCTCTCATAAAGAGGAACAATATTAACTCTGATTATAAAATAAAACATACCTTTGTAAGCATTCCCCAGAAGGTGATAGGAATAATTTCATACTAATTGTTTTTATATTACTAATAATGGATTTTAGTACCATTTGTTTTGTTCTCAAAAATCAAAGCATTGCTTTAATCAAAATTAATCGCTGAGAGAAACGTTGGTCCTCTAAGCATTTTCATTTTAAATATCGTAGAATATATTTTAATTATTTTTCACTGATTTGTTGTGTTGTCTGTTGGTGTGATTAAAAAGTAATTGCATCATCTGCAGGGTATGAAGGAGTTGAGAAAGCTTGTGGAAGATCTACCTCGGGTAAACTACAACCTTCTGAAGTACATCTGCAGGTAATAATTGGTTTTTAAATTATATTTAAGTAAAATCATGATAAATATTCAACAGGGAAATGTTTATTCAAATATGTTGTTTTGCCAGATTTCTAGATGAAGTCCAGTCGTATTCAGGGGTGAATAAAATGAGCGTCCAAAACTTGGCCACAGTCTTCGGGCCAAATATCTTGAGGCCGAAGGTCGAGGATCCAGTCGCTATTATGGAAGGTCAGTATTATGGCTCGTCATGTGTGTGTGTGTCTTGCATGCTGACATTATTTTAACGTTAAGAGTAATTATATGCACATTTCAAAAGGAAAGAGACTGATTTCAGGTCTCATCTTTTCAGGTACTGTTCTGGTCCAGCAGCTCATGGCCGTTCTGATTGGCCGCCAAGACGTGCTGTTCCCCCTGGAAGAGGACAGCCCCACGGCCCTCGAGCTTGCCAACAACAACAATATCGAGCTGCCACGTGGACAAGCCACCACAACTACCTCCGCCATCACTACGGTGACCCAGAACACCGAGAACAACAACACACAGGTGGTGCGGCAGTGTGTTTGGGAAGCACCCGAATCTCCGTCACACCGCCAGCACGTGGACAACAATGTCTCCCCGCGATCGGCCAGCCCTCGTAACGGTGTCATCGGACGCTTTGACATCACCCGCAGTCCACCAATGACTGTTAAAAAGAACCCAGCTTTCAGTAAGGGCAGCGGGATCGTAACAAACGGCTCCTTCAGCTCCTCGCCCTCTTCAGACCCCAGTCAGGAGAAGAGCCAGACTCTAACAGGAGGCGGGAGTTTACCGGTGCGCCGCAGTGGGACGCTCAAAGGCTCCGGCACCAAAATGGGCACCAGTGGCGTGACGAGTGGTGGCAGCGCCGGAGGGAACGGAACTGGAGTTGTGCGTATGGGCCTATCCGGCACTGATGTGGGTCTGAACGGCCGCAACGGTCTGTGGGTACCAAATGGCTGCGTCACGTTACGAGACAACAACAAAACCCGAGACAGCACCCAAGTGGATCAAACATCCAATCAGAACCGCCTGTCCACGTACGACAACGTCCAGTTAAACCACCACAACCTGCAGCAGCAGAACCACATCGCCAACACGTGTCTGAACAGCAGCTGCGAGGACAAGCAGAGCGTGGACAGCGCCACTTGGTCCACCTCCTCCTGTGAGATCTCCCTGCCGGACAACTCCACCTCCTGCCGCTCCTCCACCACCACCTGCCCCGAGCAGGACTTCTACGGAGGTCACTACGAGGACATCGATGGAGCGGTGCGAGACACTGAGCCCAAGTCTGGTGGAGGAGGGGAGGGGGAGGTCAGGAACATCAACAGAGAGGGCAGTGGAGAAGGAGCGGGGGGGAGCAGTCGGGGCACCAGCAGCAGTGATAACAGTGAAGGATACACTGTGGGGAATGGAGCTGGGAGCCACAGTGCTCTGCACAGCCTAGTGGCCAGTCTCAAACAGGAGATGAACAAGCAGAAAACCGAGTACGAAGCCAGGATAAAAAGGTAATGACATTTAGTTTTGTTTGCTTATTTAGTGAAAATTCATGAGAACGGTATTCATCGTCTAAGACAGGGGTGCCCAACCAGTCGATCGCGATCGACCGGTCGATCGCGGGGAGATTCCCAGTCGATCGCGAGATCTGTCTAAAAATAGAACAACAATATTCTGTTTTATCGTTAATGTCCTATAACATAATCTTCCCGTGCCAGAATAATGCACTTGAACGCATCAAAGCTTTGTGATTGGCCGGCTAGACCCCATGTGTCGGGGCGTGGCTGGTCGGCAGTGGGCAGTGCACTATTTCGCTGACGTTGTCCAACGTGTCCGTGTCAACAGGAGTGACAGTCCGCACACACACAGGGCCGCAATTATGGCAGAAGCAAAAAAGCCCAAAATATATAATTTTCACTCCGAGTGGGAGGATGATTATTTGTGTATCTATTCCAATTCAAAGTCCATCTGTCTCATCTGCAATGCGAGCGTGGCTTTATCGAAGAAGGGTAATTTTCTAATTTAGGAGCGGCATTTCAAAACAGTGCACAAACGCTACGAGACGGAATTCCCTCCTAATTCTGCCCTACGCTCCAAAAGGGGAGGGGCCTGAAAGGACAGCTAAATGCACAGCAGTCCATTTTCACCAGGCCCAACAACAAGAGCAAGGCTGCTACCAGAGCATCTTATCGTGTCAGTCACGTTCTTGAGAAACACATGAAGTCTTTCAAAGACGGCGAAGTTGTGAAAGAAGCATTCCTGGAGGCTGCCGACGCGCTTTTGGGGGACAGTAAAAATAACAGTAGCATTTCAACAGGTTTTTTGATATAATAAAACTCAAGTTAGATACCGTTATTAATCAGCTGTAAGTTTTAGTTTGTTTGAACTTATTCATTATAATTATTGTACAAAATGGTATAAGAATGCAAACTTAAATTGATTATAGTCTATTATCAATTCAGGTTAAGAAACTAGTGTTGCTGGCATCCTATTTTAAAGGCATTTATTTTTATAATCTACTAAAATGCAACAAAAAAAGGGTTTGATTCTATAAATGTTGTCTTTTTTATTGCACTTTGGCAGCAGATTCCTGTGTAGCTTCAGATCTGAGTTATTAATAAGCCTAATTTATACTTTTGTAGCAACACTATTTTTATATAATGGCAAAGAAAGGGTTCATCGTCTTTTCTTCCTGTGTCATATGTGGCAGCACTGTTCAATGTTTCTTGAAAACATTACCCACTGTAGTGTGACGTGTGAATAAACTCCAACTCTGTATCAACAACACTGTTGTGTAGCTTCAGTTAAATACTTGTATGTGTGTAGATTAGAAAGAGGTAAGATAAAGGATCTGCAGTATTTTATGAAGTATTAATCGTACAAAGTTCAGTTTTATACAAGTAGAAGTGTGTATTTACCTGGTAGTAGGCTGTCAGTAACTACGCCTCTCTATTTGGACTGGTAGATCTCGGCAGACTGGCAACTTTAAAAGTAGCTCTCGGTTAAAAAAAGGTTGGGCACCCCTGGTCTAAGAAGTGTGTTTTCACAAAAACTATAAATAATGACCAGATGTAGAAATCTTAAGTACAAGGGATGACACTTTTTCCTCTAAAATCTACAAAGTTTGAGATATTTTTAAGTTTTAAATGGAATGCAACAAATAATGAGTAGACAGTACAATATAGAGGAATGTGCACGAAAGATATACAAAACCACAATTGAACATTTGCTAAAATATTGCTGAATACAATTTAAACAAGACTGTATGGTGTGATGACCTTAAACAAAACATCATGTAGGAAGTATTGGTACAAAAGATATTCCATTAACCTCCTCAACAATTCCACCGCAATTCATTTAGCATATTGAAAATGCAAATAAAGTGTTTATTTAGTTGTTCTTGATTTTCTATAGCCAGTTTAGTAAATGCTGACACTTCTTCCAACGCTTTGTTGCAGCTTGGAGCAGCGTAACGTGGAGCTGGAGACGGAGATGGTGAGCCTCCACGAGGAGCTGGACCAGGAGAGGAAGAAGTACACCATGGCAGAGATCAAGCTGCGCAACGCGGAGCGCGCCAAGGACGACGCTGAGCGGAGGAATACGATGCTGCAGAAAGAGATGGAGCAGTTTTTCTCCACGTTCAGCGACCTCACTGCGACTGGAAACCCCCCAGCAGCCGACCCCCGCCGACCAGATCGTAACAACCCCATCTGGATACAGTGAAGGGAGGCTTATGATGTGATGTGAACAATATGAGTGCTCCAAACAGGATTTGGCTGCTGGTTGTTAAGGGAAAGTTACAATGCAAAGGTTAATGGCATGTTAATTTAAGAAATAAGAGGTGTATGGCTAATGAGAGCCACCTGTATAAAGATAGACATCACCTGGAGTGATGCCAGACTGACAATATGTGTAAATACAGTGTTATTTAAACAGCTCCCAGACACTCATCTGACTGAAGAGGATTGAAGGCACACCATAGTCCATGATGATGCGTCAAAAAGGTTGCGTTTAGCCGACAAACATAAAAACCTTGGACCTGTAAACACAAAAAAGACCATGCATATATTTAATTATCTTTTAAAAAAATCTAACCAAAAACATCTTGTTGTTCCGTGTAATTCTGTATCTGCTCATGTACATAGAGGGAAACGATGCAGAAAAGTGTCATGTATGTAAAAATAAATGAAAAAGTAATATTTCAATGTTTATCTGATATTTACGCAAAGTTATCAATGTGTGATATTTTATATTACGTTTTCTCCTTGCACTTACATGTTTGTTTAGTCTCAGCAAGGTGGTACTGAATGTTCTGTCGGTCAATGTGTGTACCAATTACATTTGGACAATATACTGTATAATATGTGCTTCTGTGCTTCTGTGCTGTTTATTTACCCCATGACCAAAAAAAAGAGCCTGTTCTGTAAATATTTTATTGATAATCATAGACACTACTTGTTAGTCTGCACTGTGCGTCAACACACATTCACATGTATATGCCACCTATTGAGTTGATACTGATTGAGGAATGTTTTGTAGCTTGTAAAGATACATTTTAAGACTGTACGATGGGTCATTGGCTAAAATCCCAGATTCAAACAAAAAAATATCAGTTGTCAAATCTGAATTTCAGTGGAAAAATTCTCTCTGAATACGCTTATAAACAGTTTCTGAGCATACTAGATGCCAGTTATAAAAATATCTTCCTGTACTTTCCATTTTCCAGTTTCAACACCTAAAAACAGGTTTTTCCCTAAACTAGCACAGAATAACAAGCTGCAGAGTCCCGATACAGAGTTGTGTATTTTGTTTATAACTGTGAAAAAATTGAACTACAGCATCAAGTCTTCTACATGGAGACATGAACAACCTGGTGGCTAGTTTCATTAGCAAGTGGTGTGTGCATGATGGTGCATGAGTCCATGCAGGCTGGTGTACAATATGTGAATGTCTGTAAAGTTACTGCATATCGATGAAGTCTTTATGAGTGTATTTATGTAGCTTTAAGCCAAATGTATACACATGATGTGGATTTGCTGATGGGTACAAAACATCTTGAGCTGGACTTCTGAACAGAAGCTGCTGCTGGCTGCTCTTCCTCTGAAGACCAGGTCTTCTGCTGCTGGTCCACGCAGGACATCTGGAATGTGCACATGGAGGGGAAAAAGTGCCTGAACAACTGAAGGAGGAGGGGGAGAGGAGGCGAGGAGGCTGTGCTCCTCATTTTGCACCCTCCACCGGGAAGTAAAGGGCTTAAGCCGAGCTGACTGGCACCTCGTTCTGTGACTCCACACAAAGAGCACATTATGGACGCAGGGCGGGGGGGAGCAGGAGTGGGGCAGTGGAATATTTTCATGACATGATACTTGATACACAAAATAAAAAAATACTTAATATGAATAAAAGTGCATTTTCATTTGATTCCTCTTGTTTTTGTCTCAAGGTCTTTCAAAAGGTGTGAGAAGATACAGCATTTGGTTAGTCTCGCATGTAACGTGAGGGGACATTAATAGAATAGAATCGGAGGGATGAAACCCTCTTTTAATGGTCACACATGCAGAGCACACTACACAGTGAAATGTGGCCTCTGCATTTAACCCATCCTAGCACCAGGAGTCTAGTACTAGGAGCAGTGGGCAGCTATTGTACAGCGCCCAGGGAGCAATGGGAGTGGGGGGGAAAGGGGTTGTCTGGTGCCTTGCTCAAGGGCACCATGCGGCAGGGCCCAAGAGGTGAACTGGGACCTCTCCAAGTAGAAGTCCACGCTCCTTATTTAGGTCTGTTCGGGGACTTGACCCGGCGACCCTATGGCTCACAGTCCAAGCCCCTACTGACTGAGCCACTGCATTAGGCCTGGCACCGATGACTATTTTCCATCAGATCAATTATTTTATATACAAATGATAACATTATTAAAAAAAAATAGCTGATTAAACCAGCAGTTGTGGATAAATGTTCAAGTAGATGTAGATAAGTACATAAGTAATGTATTTCATGTCATTTAGTTTTTTGATAAAACAGTTGGGCAAAGACATTGTTTGAAACATCAAATATAATAATGTGGTTATGGACATGACTCATGACTGACGTCCCAACCTCTTTGAAGTCCCTCGCCACAACAACACCAGCCCCGTTTCCTCTCCTACAGAAAGACTAAATGTGAGTTGCCCCTTGTAGGACACCAGAAAAGGGTAGGCGAAAGTTTAAGGGAGGAAAGGGGACCCACAACATTCAGAAAAAGCCAGATGTTTGCGTCCCGTACTAACATGTGGAGACATGCGCTTGCCGTGGGTATGCATTAATGAAGGTAGAGATCTGGGAGGGCTGATAGGCAGAGGGGATGTTGTGTGATAGGTCGTGGCACATACACACACACTCACCCGGTCACATGTGCTAGCAATAAGTTAGCCTTGTTGTCACTCTGGTCAGACAAACAGATGGTACTGGACTGAGGCTGCTGAGACACAAATATTTCCAATTTCAGCACTAAGAAGACGAGAAAAAATGAGTTCATCAAGATGTTCCTGCTAATAATTCAGAAACAAAGCACTTTTCTTTTTATACTGCTGTAAAACTAACAAATATTAAACTTAGGACATTGCTATATGCTTTAAAGAGTAATAAAGGCTGTTATCATACATTTCTATTACGATGTATTTTACAACACTTTGAAAACACACAGTTGAGTGTTGTACTTTGAACGAAGGGATTACATTAACAATCTCCTTGAACTCTGTAGATTAGAGTTTTAGAATAATTTATGGTATTGTTTAATGAATAAAATGTCTTATTCAAGGGGCGAAATTATAATAACATGAAATAAAAGCAAATGTTGGCAATACAAATGTTGTACGATAAAGTAGCCTATCACTATCACGGTCCTTTAATAAGTTTACTTATTTCTATTACAGTTATTGAGCAACTCAAACAACTGTATATTACATATACCGGCTGTTTTAGTAGATTCTCTGATTTGTAAATTATATACAGTAATGTAGTTACTAGGTAAATATGATTAGGATAGCTGCTCAGCCACCAAGTGTTTTTGTTCATATTTAACTAGCTCAGTTATCTTCAAAAGGTGTTGCCTATTTAATCATATTGAGGTTTTTTCTGGACACTAATTATGCAAATGTAAAAATGTATTACACTGTTTACCAAAAAAGGGGGTATTATTTGCAAAATAAATCTCACTCCGCCACCAAGTTGTTTTATTTTTCATGTTGACTTATTCATAGTGTAAAAAAAGTTAAGTTGTTACAATTTCCATGTTATGAAAGCATTATTCACAAATTAAATAATAGTAGACTTAAACATAACTGAAGTTGCCCATACAAACTATATCATTTAAATTAAACTTTGCTTAGGATCTGTTTTGTGTGAATAAAGTGATAGTCAATATACAAACATATGTCTACATGGACATACAGTATTGTAATATATGTAATCTGTATGTCAAATATGTCTTATATGTCTTAAATGACATGATGAATTGGAAATGGGGGACCCTGATGTAAACAAGACGAAAGTCTTTCTCTGGTCTGCATCCCCTTAACAATTGTATGTTTTGAGCTGTACTGTACTGTACCCAATATACAAGCTGTTAATAAACTTTTCAATCAATCAATCAATCATTGTCTATAGTTGTCTATTATACAACCAGAGAAGGTAAAGTGACCACAGTTTTAAAGATATTTGGAAATCTGACAGTCCTATAGTATAAATCACCATGTTACTGTGATATGAATGTAATACTTAGGAAAGATTATTGCCTTTTCTATCATCCTGCACCACCAGGCAGCATGTGTTTGCTCTAGTGTTGAACTGAGAGCCTGAATCTGAATTAGGGTCTGTGTAGGTGGGACTCTGTGACTGTGGCATTTTGGATAGATGGTTTCTATAGAGACAAAGGCCAGAAGAAACACTATAGGCTCATAGAGACATTTTGAATTGCAAATCACTGCGGGTAAAAGGAAGAAAGGTACACAGTTTTCCAAGATCAAATATTTTGTTTATTTTCAATCACATACATATACTATTTTTACATACACAGTTCCTTTAAAATGTTGTGTTTACAGTAACAGCTTTCAGTTTTTTTTTTCTTTTTCTTTTGCATTTGTTTTGACTTTATTTGAAACGCTATAGCCTGAAGCTTTGAGATCAGCGTGAAACGGATACAATTTCTTTTTTTTTTCAACCAGACAATGTCAAAAGAATGTTTCATTAAAACAGCACGGAGTAAAAGAAACAAGAAAGAAGGAATCGTAAAAGAATTTAAGAACAACGTCACCTGATTCAGATGAGCTTTACAGGGTTTCATCATCGTAGAGTTTCACATTTAAAGATTCCAAACATTTTAGCATCACCCGACCCTTCAGTACCTCCCTGTCTGAGTGCAATAGTGTTTATTGCATTGTTGGATAATTGTTATTTACAATATGACTTGAAAGAAAGAGGTGAAAATTAAAAAGATGGGGGTCACAAGTACTTGGTCCAAAGATGTAATGTTGGCACAGCTGAGTACAAGATGTATTCTACTTTGTGACAAAAATGTGGCAATAATATTAATGGCTGATTGACAGACAGCCATCTTTAGTACAAATAAATGGGGATACATTTGGCTAATCCTGAATCCATTATGTATCATTGAAAGCCCCTTGTGACCAGATTTGGAAGCAGGATTGGTGGTTGACATATTTCTAACTTCTAAACGTTGTGACTTAACGTGAATACACACATGAATTACTTCCAAACACACACCAGTACTCTCCATCGACATTCTTTGAAAGCAATCCTCAAAACCCTATTGAAAGAAAAAAGTGAAAACGTGAACTGTGAAATAATCCGTCCAGATGTCATATCACATCTCCCATTTCAACCTTACAGACAGTTAGTGTTGAATGCTGGTTAATTTGAAATCACTCACACACACACACACACACACACACACACACACACACACACACACACACACACACTGATGACAAAGCAGAGCAGCAATGACGTGAGTGAAACAGTTTCTACATTCAGTGTTGACAAACCCAGCTGTTAGAATCAACTCTATTTCAGGCCCAAAAGCACCTTAATATCACAATAGAATTGTCTGGAGGGATGTCTTATAAAAAGATCACATTCAGAGAAAGAAAGAAAAACGATGGTTCAGTATTTGTACAACAGTACCGTGAGTATCTGTGGTGCACAG